GGTCCCGGCGCGGCCGCGGCTCCCGGCGCGGCGGAGCAGGCGGCGGCGGCCGCCGCCCTGCTCTACGACATGAAGGGCTGCTACTCGCGGCTGCGGGCGCTGGTGCCCACGCTGCCGCGGCACCGGCGCGTCTCCAAGGTGGAGATCCTGCAGCACGTCATCGACTACATCTGGGACCTGCAGCTCGTGCTGCAGCCGGGCGCCCCCTGCGCCGCCCCCGCCGGAGACCCTCCCGAGGTGAGCGCGGATCCGTGCCCCTGCCCCGCTCCCTTCACGTCCCTCTCGCACCGAGTGACCCAGCCGAGCTTCCCAAGCGCCACCCCGCCGGGTGGCACTGCCGATGTCCCCGTTCAGCCCGTCTCATCAGCTCTGCTCTCCCCCGGTGCTTCCCGTCTCCATCCCCCGGGGCTCCCTGTGCCTGCWCTGACCGGCTGCTCTTGCCGTTTCCACAGGCTCCGTGCATGCCGGCTGCCGACCGCATCCTGTGCCGCTGAGGCTGCTCCGCGCCGCCGAGGACTCTGCCCGTGTCTGGTCCGGTGCCTGATCCGGTACCGTGGCCAGCCCGGCACCGAGGAGGCAGCAGTGCCTGTCTCATGATGGGACCGTGCTGCGGGTGGCCAGGTGGCCCTGCTGGGGCTGTGTTCCCGGCCCCGTGCCTTGTATCCTTCTCAGATTGCTGAGAGCATTCCCTGTATTGTATATTACAATGATGCTGGAGAATATTGTTCTACAATAGCTGGAGTTTTGTTATTAAACAAGCCCTGATTACAAGGAGCGCTTCTCCTTTCCTACCCTGGGAGYGTGTGAAACTGTTGGGAGCCTCGTGTAGGCTGGGGTGGGTGCTCCAGGGGTGCTGGTGCCCACAGAGGAGCCTGGCCCTGCCGGCAGCCCCCGGATGGGCACCAGCCTGTGGCTACAGAGGGTTTGTTTGGGCTGTGGGTTTCTGCTCTGAGCCGCAGGGCTGGTTCTGCCTTGGTGCTCTGGGTTGGATGGGACCAGAGCTGGGGCTTTTCCACTACAGAGAGATCTGGGGTTGGCTCTGCAGCCTGGGCATCCTACTGCCCCCTCCGTGAGCCCTAGGACRTGGGTACAGCTGGGCTGCTCCCCCAGCTGGCTAGCCTGGGACTGGTGCTCATGACACAGACCAGGTGCCCTGGGGGCTGCCGTGCTGGCTGGACCCTGCACAATGAGGGGGCAGTGCCCACTGCTGGCACAGGAACCCCCCTGCTGCCCTTTGCGCTCAGCAGCTGGAGCTGCAGCTGGCCGGGCTGTGGCAGAGCAGGAACTTGCATCAGCAGAGGCTTGTGCAACCCTGTGGCAGCTGCGGCTGCTGCGCTCGCCGCCCGTGACTCAGAGCTGGCTGCTCCCTTAGCAGTCATGAGTGGCTCTAGTTGGGGTCCATGGAGTGGCCAGGGCTCCCCTAGCCCTGTGGGGCCCCAAGGCTGCCTGTGGGGCAGGGCTGTGTCCCAGAGCTGCATCCAGGCCTTGGCATCCCCTTCTCTCTGTGCCCTGTTCCTGCCCATGGGCTGTTCTGGAGCTGCTGGTGCCGCTGCAGGCAGCCGCCCCAGACAGGCGGGTGCCTGTGGCCCTGAGCCTGTCCCTGCAGGCACAGAGAGTGCCACAGCCCTGGCTGCAGGTGTGTGCACAAATGCACCTGTGTGCGTGTGCTTGCATGCTCGTAAGGGGCCGTGTGTGCACGGGCGCTGCTGTCCCCGGGTGTGTCCCGCTGCCCTGGCGCTGGCRGAGCGGCTGGAACGTGCAGGGCCCTGGGTGGGTGGGTGACACTTCATAGCCCTGGCACAGAGCTTTGCCTGGGCAGGCACAGGCCACTATCCCTGTAAAAACAGGTAATGCCAAAGGTGTYGAGTGCTGAGTGGCCCCAGCTGCACTGGGGACAGAGCCACCGCTGCCTGGCTGCAGCCGYTCCGGGGGGATGAGCAGAGCTGGGGACAGGACGGAGCAGGGGACAGGGCGGAGGAGGGACGTGGCTGAGCCAGTGACCAAGGCACCCTGTTCAGCTGCTGCCTGGGCGGGTGGGATGCAGCTTAGCCACCCCCCTCGAGCCCCACCCSCCCCCTGAACCCCCCTCATCTCTCCATTCCCACCCTGGTTGCCCGCCGTCTCCCAGCGCTGCCAGCAGCCTCTGTCCCCGCTTGTCCCCTTGGCTCCTGCTTGTCCCCGGCCCTGGCGGTGGCGGCAGCGGCTGGCCCGGCCCGCGGGGTCCCTCTCCCGGCGCCCGCTCGCACTGCGGGGCGGCAGGACGGGGCCTGGGGGCTGCTGCAGGGACCGCACAGCGGCCGGGCCGTCCTGCTGCCCCCAGCCCCATTATCCCTGGCCAGGGCTGCGCTGGCACAAGGGCTGCGGCATCCGCAGCGCTCCAGGGGCTGGACTGGGCTCCGGCTCCCGGCAGAAGGGGAAGGAGAAGGGGAATGTCCCGGGCTGGYGTCCGCACGGCTCCGTGCTGGGAAAGGTCACTCAGCCCCGTCCTGGTGGCCTGTCCTGGTGTCGGGCTGCAGCAGGAGGGCGACCGGGCTCGAGGCCACGTGGCTGCACGGGGAGCTGCGAGCGGCCCATGGGGCCAGGGCGGCCGGGGCCAGGGCCGAGCTCAGGGTGCTGGGCCGAGTTTAGGGTGTCAGGCCCTGCTCAGGATGCCTGGGCCCTTCCCAGAGCCCTGGCAGAGGCCCTGGCCATGCCTGGCACACGGTGGTCTCCTCTCCTCGCTCTCCGGTGGCYCCTTGGCGCCGGTTGCGGTGAAGGCGGCGCGGGGAGGGCGGCTCYGTGCGCGGCAGCGGGTGCTGGTGCCCCAGGTCTCCGCTCCGACCTGCTGCCACGTGCCGGGACGTGGCCGTGCGGGGCTGTTCCGGGGATGCCCCAGCAGCGCCCGTTCCCCCATGGCCGTGACCAGCGCTTGACTCATCCCGGAAGGGATTAGGGACAGGGGGAGCGGGGTGACATTCTGGTCCGACCAGCCCGTCCGCCAACAGGATGGACGTTGCTGCCGGAGCAGGTCCCTGCTGCTCGCTGCCGCCGGTGTCACCRCGGGACATGGCCGAGGTGGCCGCCACCACGGGACCCCCGCGGTCCCCAGCGCGGGGTGCCCGGCATGGTGAGGCTGGGGGGCAGAGCGGGGTGTGGGCTGGGTGCTGGGGGGCCTATGGGGCTGGCTTGGGGACACGGTTGGCACCCGGGGGTCCCGGTGGCTGTGTCTGGCAGTGCTGGTGTTACTGGGTCCTGCTTTGTGGCACCGACAGCTTCCCTAGGCTGTGATGCCACCGTTGAGGGCACAGAGTGCCCGGCTGTGTCCCAGGGAGCCGCAACGGGAGCGCGCCCCGGCACAGGGTCCTGGGAGCCATGGAGGGGTCCCGGTGCAGGGTGCTGAACACGGTGCAGCCACCGGCGCTGCCACAAGGGTGGTCAGTGCCAGGGGGTGGTCAGTGTCATGAGGTGGTCAGTGCCATGGGTGGTCAGTGCCAGGGGGTGGTCAGTGCCATGGGTGGTCAGTGCCAGGGGGCGGTCAGTGCCATGGGCGGTCAGTGCCATGGGTGGTCAGTGCCATGGGTGGTCAGTGCCAGGGGACGGTCAGTGCCACAGGGTGGTCAGTGCCATGGGGTGGTCAGTGCCAGGGGGCGGTCAGTGCCAGGGGGTGGTCACTGCCATGGGGTGGTCACTGCCATGGGTGGTCAGTGCCAGGGGGTGGTCAGTGTCATGAGGTGGTCAGTGTCATGGGGCGGTCAGTGCCAAGGGGGTGGTCAGTGCCAGGGGGCGGTCAGTGTCATGAGGTGGTCAGTGTCATGGGGCGGTCAGTGCCAGGGGGTGGTCAGTGCCATGGGGTGGTCAGTGTCATGAGGTGGTCAATGTCATGGGGCGGTCAGTGCCAAGGGGGTGGTCAGTGCCAGGGGGCGGTCAGTGCCACAGGGTGGTCAGTGCCATGGGGCGGTCAGTGCCACGGGGTGGTCAGTGCCATGGGGTGGTCAGTGCCATGGGTGGTCAGTGTCATGGGGTGGTCAGTGCCACGGGGTGGTCAGTGCCATGGGCGGTCAGTGCCAGGGGGCGGTCAGTGCCACGGGCGGTCAGTGCCACATCAGCAGCTGGGGACACGGCAGCAGCCTGTGCCACGTCGGCAGCCCCAGGCCGTGCGGGCAGCCCGGGGCCCTGTTGACGGTTCCTGCTGGGCTGGGGCCGGGCTGTGCCCATGCCGGGCACATGGCTGTGTCCCCAGGGCACGACTGTGCCCAGACACACGTGCCCTGCCGCCTGGGGCGTGCAGCCCCCAAAGGAGACACTGGGACAGTGTCTGGGCCTTTGGGTGCTGCGTGGGAGCCTGGGTGCTGCGTGGGAGCCCCCGGGCGCTGCTCTCCCAGGCCGGTGCCGCTGGCGCCGCTTCCCCTCTGAGTCACGCGTTGGGCAAGCGCGGCCTTTCGGGCCCGGCACGTGCGGGAAGCGGCGGTGGCGGGACTGTCCCCGTGGCCGTCCCGGTGTCACCCGCTGCGCCTGGCCTYGCTATAAGTGCCAATGGTGAGGGCRGCCGGGGCGGTGCGAGAGCATCCCGGCACAGAGCATCCCGGCCTCATCCCGCTCCCGGTGCCRCTCCGCACAGCCGCCCCTGGGCACCGCGGGGCCGCTGCCATGGCCAGCCTGGCCCTGCTGCTGCTGCTGCTGGACGCCAGCCCCGTGCTGGGCACTGCCACCGCCGGCATCAAGGGCAGGGTGACCCGCAGCGCCCTGGACTACGGTGGGTGCCTGTCGCGGTGCTGGCGGCGCCGCGGGCGCCCCGGCGCGGCGCTGAGCCCCGCTCCCGCGCAGGCCACCGGCTGGGGCTGCACGCGCTGCACGCGCTGCTGCGCGCCGAGCACGAGCTCAACCTGACGGGCTCCTACCGCGTGCCGCTGCTGGGCGAGCTGCGCTTCGCCGTGCCCCGGTGAGCCCCGCGCGTGCCCCGCGTGTCCCCTGCATGTCCCCCAGGTGTTCCCTGTGTGTCCCCAGCGTGTCCCTCACATGTCCCAAGCTGTCCCCTGCGTGCCCCCTGCGTGTCCCTCGTGTGTGTCCCATGTTCATCTGTTCATCTTCTACATGTCTTCTGTGTGTCCCCCACATGTTCCCTTGCATCCCTTGTGCATCCCCTGCGTGTCCCCTGCATCTTCCCTGCATGGCTCCTGTGCATCCTACACGTCCCCTGGGTGTCCCCCACGCATGCCTTGCACGTCCCTGCGTGGGGCRGCCGGCTGAGCCCACATCCCCGCAGGCTCCGCGTGCAGGGGCTGCAGCTCAACGACTCCTCCGCGGAGTTTGCGCCGGCCGTGGGCGTGCGGCTCTCGCTGCGGCGCGCGGAGCTCCAGCTCCACGCAGAGTGGGCAGCCCAGCTCTGGCCAGTGTGAGTGTCACATTTGGGGTACGGGAGGGGGGGCCTGGGACCCCCGGCCACCCCCGGCTCAGCCGCTCTCCGCCCGCAGCCAGGACGGTGGCACCGTGGACGTGCACGCGGGTGACGTGGCCGTGGCGGCGGTGCTGGCGGTGGGCGCCGATGCCGGGGGCCGTCCCGCCGTCCGGAGCACCGACTGTCACTCCAGCATCGGCAGCCTGCGCCTGGAGTTCCATGGCGGGCAGAGGTGACGCGTGTCCCCGCGCGGGCGGGCGCCCCGCGGTCACACCGCCCGGGGCTCAGCGTCTGTCCCCACAGCTGGCTCTACAACCTGCTGGCGCCGGCGCTGCAGGGACCCCTGCGCCTGGAGCTCAACAAGCACGTGAGTGCCCRGCAGCGTCCCCGTCCCCGCCGTGTCCCCACGCGGCACCTGCTGACGCCCGCTCTCTGCTTGCAGCTCTGCACGGAGCTGCAGCGCCAAGTGCGCAGGCTGCAGGACACACTGGACAGCTGGAGAGGTGGGGAGCATGGGGGCATGGCGACAGGGACGGGGATGTAGCAGGGGACACAGGGGCCATGAGRCTCGACTCACCCTGACTCGTGGCCCTGCAGTGTCCGTCCAGCTGGACCCCTTCGCTGCCATCGACTACTCGCTGCTGCAGGAGCCGGAGATCACGGCGGAGCACGGGGACCTCAGCATTAAGGTAGAGCCATCCCTGCAGGCACCGGTACCCGGCACCGGCCACAGGGCTGGGCTGGCCCCAGCATCGTGTCTGCACATCTGTATGTGCCTGCATCCATGCATCAATGCATCTGTGCATCTGTACATCCGKGCGTCCATGCGTCTGTACATCCGTGCATGCATGCGTCCACGCAGGGGGAGTTCTTCGGCGTGGGCCGGCGGCAGCAGAGCCCCTTCTCGGCGGCGCCGGTGCCGCTGCCGGTGGCGGAGGAGCCCATGCTGCTCGTGGGYGTCACCGAGTTCGTCGCCAACTCCGCGGCCTTCGTGTACTTCACGGCCGGCGCCCTGCGCTGGACCGTCACCGGTGCCATGGTAGGGCCCGGCGGGGGTCCCGGTGCGGCCGCGGGCCAAGGCCCCCGCGCTGCCCCCGCCCCACGGCTCCGCTCCGCCTGCCTGCAGCTCCCGCGGCGCTTCCCGCTCCGCCTGAGCACCGAGGGCCTGGGGCTCTTCGCCCCGCAGGTGAGCGGCGCCGGCGGTCGGGACGCGGGGAACGCTCTGCAGGGCGGGTGCAGGCTGGTCGGGAGGGATGTCCAGGATGATACCCGTGTGGGTCCCTTGGGATGCAGGAGGTGCTGTGTGGGTGGGACGAGATGGATGCAGGCTGGTTGGGACGCAGAGTGGACCGGTTGGGATGCAGCGTGCCCTGCTCTGGAAGCAGCGGATTGTAGAGTGGGCAGGATGGGATGGATGCAGGTCAGGCAGGATGCAGGGGATGCAGTGTGGGCAGGATGGGATGGATGCAGGGGATGCAGTGTGGGATGGATGCAGGCTGTTCGGGATGCGGGGGGTTGCAGAGCATGCTGTTCGGGATGCAGTGCAGGCTGTTCGGGATGCAGTGCAGGCCGGTCGGATGCAGTG